ATGCTCCAGTCATGAGTTTCCAAGGCTATGGAAGCCCTCTGAGTTCTCCAACTCTTATCTTGTTTAGACAAGGTCATAGTCAAAGTGGAGGTTCTCTCCTCCCTTCAGAGAAAGGTACCTCCTTCTTTGAAGACCTGTTCTTTCCACTGGGATCTCACTCACAGAGATCTTTTTGCCAGAGTGTCTTGGCTTTCCATGCCTGAAATACTCTCATGGGCTTTTCAGCCAGATCCGAATGGCTTTAGGGCTGATTCTGAGGCCCTATTTAGGACATCTGCCATTCTATGAGTCTGCTGAGTATCTCGCTTCCCATGTTGGATCACTCTCCGCTTTATTTATTCTATCGGTTAGTGTTATCACACAGTTATTCTTAAGTGTTGAAAATTAACTGAAATGTGATCCCTGTTAAACATAAGAGTGGGAATAAGAGAGGGAAGAGATGTATAACTTGGGACATGCTCAAGCTGACTTGCCCCAAATGGTAGAGTCAGAAACATACCAGGGGATTCCAATTCAATCCCATCAAGGTGGCATGTACCAATGCCATCTCACTATTCCAAGTGATCAATTTCAGTTTACAATTGATCATAATGAAAGGACTAAGAGTCAAAGGGAGCACATAAACAAGTCTAGTACCTGCTAACACTAACCGATAGAATAAGATAATTGAAAATTAATCTTGATGTGAATGGAAGGAGAGAGGGAGTGGGAGGGGAGTATTGTGGGTGGGAGGGAAGTTATGGGGGGGAAGCTATTGCAATCCATAAGCTATACTTTGGAAATTTATGTTCATTAAATAAAATAAAATATAAATTAAAAAAAGATTTTGTTTATTTACTTGAAATGTAGAGTTACAGCACAGAGAGGGAGAGACTGAGAGAAAGATCTTCCATATGCTGGTTCACTCCCCAGATGGCTGCAACAGCCAGAGCTGGGCTGATCTGAAGCCAGGAGCCAGGAGCTTCCTCCAAGCCTCCCACATGGGTGCAGAAGCTCAAGCACTTGGGCCATCTTCTATTGCTTTCCCAGGCCATTGCAGAGAGCTGGATTGGAAGAGGAGAAGCCAGGACTAGAACTGGCACCCATATTGGATTCAAGCACAGGTGGAGGATTAGCCTACTATTTCACAGTGCCGACCCCCAAAATATGGTCTTTTTGACACTTTAAGCAGAGGAGATATCAACTTAGCTTCTCAACATGACTTGTGAGGATGGCCTCAGCATACATTAAGCCTCCAGAATCTTTCACTACTCACTCTTTTGCTTTAGTGCATATAAGCCCCCATTTAACACATTTATTCAATGAATCTTGAGGGCCTGCTTTGTGCCAGGGATTATTCAAGGCACTTTAAACTGCAGCAGAAAACAAAGCAAAATTCTTGCTCTTACAGAGCTTATATTCTTTTTTTTTTTTTTTTTGACAGGCAGAGTGGACAGTGAGAGAGAGAGAGAGACAGAGAGAAAGGTCTTCCTTTGCCGTTGGTTCACCCTCCAATGGCTGCCGCGGCTGGCGCGTTGCAGCCCGCGCACCGCTCTGATCCTATGGCAGGAGCCAGGTACTTATCCTGGTCTCCCATGGGGTGCAGGGCCCAAGCACTTGGGCCATCCTCCACTGCACTCCTGGCCACAGCAGAGAGCTGGCCTGGAAGAGGGGCAACCGGGACAGAATCCGGCGCCCCTACTGGGACTAGAACCCGGTGTGCCGGCGCCGCTAGGCGGAGGATTAGCCTAGTGAGCCGCGGCGCCAGCCCTACAGAGCTTATATTCTACTGGAGAAGATGACAGTCAATGAAATGAATAATGTGATATTATTAATAAGTAGTGTATACAAATGTGGAGGCAGAAACAGAGATCTGTGGAGACAGACAGACATATTTAGAGAAGCAGGTAAGGGCAGCCTATTTGTGGCAATGAAATCTAGGTAGAAACTTGTACACAGAAGCGAGCCTTGAAAAGATCTGGAGTGCAGAGGGAGATCCAGACCAGGCCTGGGTGAGGATGAGGCTGGCACATCCAAAGAATAGTGAGACACCTGATGCAGAATAAGTGGAGAGTGAAGAATGAAGTGATGAGCTAGGAAGAGTCCTACCATGTGGAGCCTTCTAAAGAAATTTCTAATATATTCTGAATCTGATGAGACCCCAGGACAGGGTTTAATATGTACAGCAAAGGATATAATCTGATGTACAATTTAGAAAATCACTCTGGTTTCTCTTCAGAGAATTGACTGTAGGGAAGGAAAGAGTGGGAGGAGTCCATGGGCTAGTGCATAGTGTAAATACAAACTTACAGTGCCTTTTGTCTGGGCTTCACGTAGCCGTGGGAATGAAACCCAAACTCAGTAATTCAGCAAACTAGATCCCCAGTGACCTGGCCCTCGATCACCATTCTAGTTTCATTTATGGTAAACCCTTTTCTCCTCCACTGTGCTTTACGTCTGTTTGCCAGTCTGAACCTTTGCACATTTTATTCCTTCTATTTAGAATGATCTCCATTTTTTTCCTGCATTGTCCAACAGAGATTTGATCTTCATGTCTTTGAAACCTCTCCTGACCAGGAACAGAAGATGTTGGCACAAAATCTGACACAGTATAAAATGTACCTTTATACTGTATGATATATGTGTTGCTATCCTGTCTCTCAGCCTACTGAATACGTGCAGTCTATGAAAAAACAATTTATAAACTACTGAGCTAGACTTCTTAAATTTAATTCATAGCACTATGAATATCACTTATAGGGTTATTCTTTTCAGTATAGCAAATAGTGAGTAACACATACTTATAATTAAGAATTTACTTTAAAATGCACTCAAAGCTTGCTAGATATTGCATGGAAACAAACTACAAAATTAACTTCTTAGACTCAAAGTGTTAAAAACATTGTACATAAAAAGTACTACCTTGGGTATACAAAACCACAAAACCTTTTAGTTTACATACAGTAATTCCAAATTAAATTATGCATTGAATTTGATCAGTTGGAAGAACCACTGAGTTGTGTTCTAAGGCTCAATCACCTCAGATTTACCAATTCAGATTAATTATATTCAATCTCTTTTATGATTAATCAATATTAGTGATGCAATCATTAATACAACCTATACAACCCAGTGTATGCTGGTTATTAAATTTCCAAATCCAAATACTGTGAGGAAAATTACATGTAAGTTGAATTTTTCCTTAACTGAGGGCATTGGGATGAAGAGTTGAGGTATAAGTGAATGATCACTGGAGAACTCTATTCTTCCTAATGATGGAAGTCTTGAAAATTGTATCTAAAAAGTATTGTCAAAAAAATCTTAAAAATATGTGACTAAGTACTTTTATAGACAAGTATAAAAATAAATATGTAAACACTAGAACTGAATTACAAATCACTTTTCACAATAGAATCAAATCTAGAAACAAAGTGATGTATGAAATAACTGTGTAAACTTGATGAAAACTCAGTGCACTGGTAGATACTGAACCCCATAGATCTGACCCGTGTGTCACGTGAGCAGGATTACTTTTAAGATGTACTGTTTGAGAAAAAAAGCAATATTCAAAATGCTACTAGAAAACTTCAGGCCGGCGCTGCAGCCCAATAGGCTAATCCTCCACCTGCGGCACCAGCACACGGGGTTCTAGTCCCGGTAGGGGTGCCGGATTCTGTCCCGGTTGCCCCTCTTCCAGGCCAGCTCTCTGCTGTGGCCTGGGAGTGCAGTGGAGGATGGCCCAAGTGCTTGGGCCCTGCACCCACATGGGAGACCAGGAGAAGCACCTGGCTCCTGGCTTTGGATCAGTGCGATGTGCTGGCCGCAGCGCGCCGGCCGTGGCGGCCATTGGAGGGTGAACCAACAGCAAAAGGAAAACCTTTCTCTCTGACTCTCTCTCTCTCTCACTGTCCACTCTGCCTGTCAAAAAAATTAAAAAAAAAAAAAGAAAACTTCAAATGAAATGTAGTTTATTAATATTCCCACTGGTATACCTACAAATGGGCTGATTTTTCTATTTAATTACTTTTTTTCCTGCTACCACCAATTTTTAATGTATGCATCAGTGGAAATACAATAGTATCTCAGAAAAACCTACTAGAAGCCTCTGGCTTGAAGACTTAGTCCAGAAACTGCCGCATTAAGAGGACTTCCAATCTGAAAAAAAGATCTGTTCTAAACTGAACTAACATATTTACTACTCACCCTTTGAAGACTTCAAATAAGATACACCTGCTTTTATAACTTATTATCAACATTTCCTAGTATCAGTCATAGAGATAGCCACAAATGTGTCTAACATATATATTTTCTCCCTTGAAGAGTATCTACATATATTTCTAATAATCTCTAATACTCAAAGAGAAATAAAGTTTCTTTTTGCTTCTATAAACCCTAGGAAAAAGGTTTACTTGAGGTTAGATTAAGATTGTTGTCAGAAACAAATACACATGAATAAATGAACTGTGATGATTTTATTACTCCTTCATCTGCCAGCCCCAGGCATGTTCTCTTTTGATCAGCAAATGTTCTAAGCCTTTTTATGAAAACAATCTGGCTGGACAAAGAAGACACAGACCAGATCATCCCCTCAAGGGCCCTCCCAGTAATGAATCTGAGTATCCAGGGTACGAACTTATGGTCATTCTTTACCTTATCTGTTCATGTTTTATGTTTATTCCATCCATGTTTTAAAATGAAATTTCTATTCAATGAAAGCAGTCTGTAATTTATATAATGGGGGATTCTGATACTAGGGGGAAAAAAAGCCTTCCAACTTCATCAAGTCACAAAACAATAAACTTTTTCACTTAGCCTCACAAAAGGTATTTTCTTCCTTTGACACTTTTAAGTGTAAATATAGGCTTTTCTACTTTCCCGCAAATTTCTAACGTAATGGTCCTTAATGGAACTTAGTATTAGAGTTCTAAGGTACCAGGGGCTTTGTTACCTTCTAAAGTCTGCAAACACATGATTAACATCAACTCATCCATTGTCTTCTAACTGTAAAGAATCACTCTTACCGTGAAGCCCTCGGTATACTGAAAAGGAGCCCTGGAACTTTCGTCTGCTGTTGGACTCAGAGGCTTGGGGTCAGACATAGAACGCTGCATCATCTTGGCTGTCTTAGGACTTGCTGGGGGAACTTTAGCCATATCTGGATGCAGTACTTTCTGTGGACTTATATCATCAGGGAGGGGTTTTTCATAAGGTACAAAGGCTGATTCTAAGGCTTTGCCTGGTGAAAGTGGTGAGATGGGTGAATAAAGGACTTTTGGAGATTTGGGTGGGGAAGGAGCCAGCTGCAGTGTGGAATCTGCCCGAAGGTGAGATGAATAACCGATCTCTAAAGGTGTTGGGCGTTTCTTGTCTTTAGGTGGAGATGTGGCACTCAGATATTGAGGACTTTGTGTGTCTGCATCTGCTTCTGTTTGACATCCTAAACTGCCCCCTTTGTAAGTCTTTTCAGGTGCTGAAATGTGTTTAATTATTTCTACCTTGGCATCCACTCGTGCTCGTATGGAAGGTGTTCTTATGGTTCCAACTGGTTCGGTTTGCACAGATATCTCTGCTACTGTTTGAACTGCTACGCTGGAGACCTTGGAAATGGGTTTGGTCTTGTCAGCCTCTGCTGTGCTGTCACTGTATTTCCCTACCCGAGCTTTTCTCCTTGCTCTAGAAGGCATATCCCATTCATCCTGATCTTCATCATCAGTTTGCACGCTGGTATCAACACTTTTTTTAGTTCTCCTCCTCCTACTCACATAACTCCGATCTGCAGCATCTTCGTCATCAGTTTGTACACCACTGTCCACTATCTTCTTAAAACATCTGGGATCGTCTGCCATATTTTCTCCTATCTCATCATACTGCCCACGGGCTTTGGCTCCAGAACTTCTCTTTTTGGGTTGTTTCTCCTCTTTTACAACAACATCGGTCAGAGGTATTTCTGACACGGTGCTCAGGATGCCAGGTGGGGCGATGTACTGAGTGACACCGTCAGACTGAACTGTGTACCATCCTTGGTTCTGCGGTATTTCAATTGCCACCACAGCGGATGCTGTGGTGGTGGCATCTTCAGCTGCCCAAAACTGACTGCTTTCTGGGGCCACATACTGACCCTCCAAAATTGCCTGCTCTGTGGTGGTCTGTGGGGAAGCAGTTCCAGAAGGATCATAGTTATACTGGTAGATCTGGCGAATCTTCTGCTCCTCGAGCTGCTGGTGAAGCTGCTGCTGCAGCTGCTGAATCTGCTCCAGCTGCAGCTGCTGCTGAGCTAATGTCTCCTGCCTCATCATGAACTGTGCTTGCCGTTCTTCTTCCTGCTGATAGAGAAGGTGCTGCTTCATAGACTGCAGCTCCTCCAGCTTTTTTTGAACCATGATCTTTTCTTGTTCTCGAAACCTTTGGATCTCCTGGCGTTCCCACTCCAATTCCTCAGCAAAGCGCTGTTGCTTAATTTTCTCCAGTTCTAAGAGCTCACGCTCCAAGTCAAGTTGCTGCTGCTGTTTATCTTCCTCAGGGACAATTAAAAGAGTACTTTCATCTCCCACCACTTCAGAAAATACTTCAGATGCTGTGGTTAAAGTGGGAAGAGAGTCTATTGTTTCGGCAGTAAGAGTCTCCATAGCAATAGTTTGCAAACTGGCATTGATATCAGGGCCAGTTACTGCAATGTCTGTTTCGGATGCACCTGTTGTCATGAAATATGTTCTAGGCATTGGCTGGCTCTGTTGAAGGGCAGATAATGAAGCCACTGCATCCGTGGTATGAAGACCAGACAAATCCCTAACAGTAGTGCTGAAGATGGAGCCAGGCTGTGTGGTGATAGCAAATGTGGAAGGTATTGGAGTTGCTACTGAAGAATAGACAATGCCATTAGATGACCTCAGAACACTCCCCACACCATACTGGGGTCCTGGAGGTGGAGTCATTCTTGCTGTGGAATACTGTGGGGTACTAATCCCAACTCCTGAAATGACTTGTCGGGTTTCTGGATATGGACCTGTCGTCTTGCTTGAATAGTCCATTACCTCACCTGAAATACAGGGTACAGTTATAGTCCAGTTCCAAGAATGAATGATGCCTTTTGGTTCTGAAAACCCTCTCATCTTGATGAACATATTGAATGGGACGTCATGCAAATCCATAGGTTAACCTAATTAGATGCAGAATCAAAGCAATGTTGCACATGCAGGCGCATGCAGGTGGGCTTTGGGCAGAATAAATAAAAAAAATGAAGAAACTAAAGCACACATGTACTCCAAAATATGTTGCCAAACCATCCAAATAAAGAGAAAAGTAACAAAATTGGAAAATGGGATCTTATTTTCATCCTGAAATGAGATGAGGAACACCATAATGATATTTCAAAGAAAGGTCGGCTGCTGCATCATACTGACCTGTAGTAATTCTCCCTGAAGTTAGATCTACTGCTGCATCAGCTCCTCCAGAATAATCAAAAGCATTCTTACTTTTATAGAAAAAGTGTCCAGCTTCCACTAAGTTAGTGTCAGACATGGAAGGTTTCATTCCTCCAATCCCTCTATAACCATATGGCCCTGATCGGTCATATTGATAGTGGTCATCTCTATAACCAAAACGATCCTCGGGAAGAGTAGTTGCAGGCTGCTGTGCAGTGCAGCTCCTTCCAAAAGGTAACTTATAAACCACATCACAGCACACCGCTCTCCTTCCTGCAGTCAAATCAACAGGCTTTTCATCATCTTCTACAATTTTAGTCACCACACTTGAAGTAGATTCATCCATTGTTACGACAGTTCTATGAGACTTTGTTGTACTGAGATCCACTACTTCTCCATCAGGGATTCCCTGGGATATGGTGCTATCAGACCATCCATTTGTGGCTCCAGGAGGCACAGTGACAGGTTTTGGAACAGCAGATGTCACAGCATGTGCTGAAGTACCTAGAGATAAGTTTATGGGTGCTTCCTCCCTAACCATAGGAAAGACCTGGCTACTTGGCATCCTGTATGGGGGCTCAGTATGCTTTGATGTGGTAAGCTCAAGTGGCTTTGTCATTGCGTGTTCTAAACTAACTAGGCTTTCTGTACCTGCAGTGTAACTTGCACTAGCTGTGCATGTGACGACTGTCACTGCTTCCGTGTCCAGGGATATCGGAGTCATTACTGATGAAGTTGCACTGAGATTTATAACAGAGGGTTGGACTGCACTGATTTGCCTCCCATAAACTTCACTGGATGTAGTCTGCCTTTTCACATCCATCGTGGGAGCAGAGAGATCCATACCTTTTTCAGTTGCTTTACCTTCTACTTTTGGTACTGTACGCAAATCCATAACATCACCAACCAGCTGCAATGTTCCATTTTCCTTATACTGAAGCTTCTCTGAATGCAGGTCATCTAGAGCAAGAGGTTCTGGAGGGATCGATATAGAAACACTGCTGAGACTCACAGGAGGGACTGTGCTCCTGGCTGCCGAAACCCCCGCCTTGGAAACTGCGGCTGTGAGAAGCTGTGCAACTGATGGTGGCGATGCTTGAAATGAAGGTGGTACCCTAACAGGGGCAGCAGAGAGTGTCTCCAGAACTCCTGAGCTATACTGTATCTGTTCTGAAGAACTTGGAATCTCTGCACCTGTCAGAGGAGGAAGCACAGAAAACACCGGCTCAATAGAAACCAGGTCTTTAGGGGGCGATCCCAAGGGCCAACTGGTGATTGCTTGACTAGCTGCAGAATCTGTTGGAGTCCCAGGTTCAGATGGCAGTGTAATAACCACGTAAGTTTCCATAAGGGATTTTGAAAATCTTGGTGATGACTTGTTAGAGTGTGGGGAAAGTGGGGAAGTTGGGGAGGGTAATTTATAGTCTGCAGAAGTCACTAAATTTAAGGTCATACTTGAAGTTAAAGACAGACCTGCTGGTTTTGGCTGTATTTCTGTTGGTTTTTGTGTTGTTACAGGCGGCTGAGGAATGGACGGTTTAGGGGCAATTGGAGGTTTGCTTGGCTCAGGCCTATGTGTAAATACAAGGCCAGATGGAATTGAAGAAGGCTTGGGAGGAACAGGAGGAGGCGCGGTGGCACATAATTTTGTTACAGGTAATCCACTACCCCTCTGCACGGCTGTGGTCTCGACAGTGCTAATGGCATCAACCAGAGGCGCAGCTGAAGCAGCTAGAGTCACTGGAGCTGTAATTGTTAGGTTTTTTTTAGGATGAATAGTTGGTTTAGGTGAAGTTGGTGGAGGCAATGGAGGAGGAGGAGGCGGAGGGGGAGGAGGTGGAGGTTGAGCTGATATGTCCAAAGAAGAACTTCGGAAGAATGGGCGGGTTTTAGTGGGAAGAGAGGTAACAGAAGGGCTGCCAGATGCTAACTGAGAAGCAGGTTTTTCCTGAGCAAAGACCTCTCCGGGTAAAAAGTACGGAGATGAAAGCTGCTCCTTCATGGGAGGGGCTATCATAGAAGAAGGTGGCTGGACAAATATGGTTTCAGGTGAGCTCATTTTTGTTAGCGCAGCCTCGGACTCCTTCCTTTTATCTTTGGAAGCTTCCAAAACTTCCAGAATAATTCCATTGCCAGTTTCCATCTTGGTTTTTTTCACCGAATCTTTTTCAGATGCAGGTAAGTCAGTAGAAATGGTGTCAGCCATTGGCTTCTCAGGTTTGGCTCCTACAGCTTCTGTGATAGAAGGTGCCATATCAGATAAGGAAATCACAATATGATCAGCACTAGTTCTGCCTTCTGATGTGGCAGACTTATCTAAAGACATACTGATTTCCTCTGGGTAGTCTATAATGCTGCCTGGAAAGTAAGTCGATGAAGAAACTTCCTCGGAGTCTTCAAATTTAGGTATTGTGTCCACGGGCTCTGTATAAACTGTGGTTATGCTGTCTAGGGTGATGGGTGAGGAGCTATCTGTGGTGCAAACTGAAGAAACAGATGAGGTGAGAGAAGGTGTATCAGAGGGTGGGACAGATGTAGCACTTTCTGAAGGCTCTGAGTAGGTCAAAATCAGTGACTCATGGGCAATTATCTCCTGAATTTCTCTGGTGTAATCAGTGACATATTCATCTTCAATTTCTTCCGCTGAAAAATGTTGGGTTATTTTAACATCTGGGATAGACAGTGTTGCACTGCTGGTGGAATCTGTAAGAGATGCTCCCGAGAGAACACTGGATGTCAAAGATGCATCAGGCACTCTGTCAAAATCCACGGTGGCCTCTGTCATATCGTCCACAACGGGCAGCTGCGTTGGGCTGGCTCCAGGCGTCAACTGCATCTGCTGCCTCTTCATCAGTTCTTCATAGGCAGCATCAGCATCCAGCAGCTTTTTTTCTTCACTGGTAGAAGTTACCATGGAACCCAGATCCACTATCTCATGGCTTTCTGGAATGATAAAGGAGCTTGAAACAATGTCTTCCTGAGGCACAACAGCATGTAAACTTTCTAACTCATAAAACTCTTTCTGGAGGTCTGCAATTTTCTGCATAGGGTCTTCATAAATTTGTTCTTGAAGTCTTATTTTTTGCTCTCTTCCTCTCTGTTGTAGAAATCCATTTTCCTCCTCTTGCCTAGTTAGCAGACTGCCATCTACCGATCCATTGTACGCATCCTCTACTAACGACTCATAAATATAATCTTCTATCAACATCCCGCCGTACAAAGGCTCTTTTTCAAACACGTCGTCTCGTTCGTTTGCAGCTGGAAAAGCTTTATATTTGTGGGTTTTATGCATCATTTCTTCATACATCTCCTCAGCACTTTTTAAGGCCTTTTGATCACCTTCTTTATGCATAAGAACTTGTTCGTCAGTTGGTGAGTACAAAGACACAGCTGTGGGCAATTTATACACTTTTTGTACTTCGATTATTTTTTCTGGGCTTATTTCAAAACCTTCGGGGTCTGATTCTATGCTAGGTGAATATTCAGAACAAGAAGACCTGTGGAGCTCCTCCATTTCTGCAGCCTGACGTAATTCTTCCGTGGGAGAGGCATCTTCGATGGGAGAGAGGTTACTGGGTGGTGTCTTTGGTCTCTCCCGCCTTCTCTGAGCTCGGAGTTCATCCTTGTCTTTCTTGGATTTCTTACTCGAACTCTTTCTTTGTTGCTGTTCTAATTCCCGCTGCTTTTCCTGCTCTTTCAGCAACTCCTCCTCCTCCCTCAGTTCTTCTTCCTCTGAAGAATCTTCAATGGTAGGTAACAGTGGGCCGTGTGGTCTGTGCCGAGCCTTACGTTGCTGCTTGCTCTCTCCTTTCCTGTGGCTGGGGCTACTGTCACTGTCCTCATCGAGCGATGACACTGATGTAGGGGACGTGCCAGGAGTGAAGCTGGAAGCATGGAGACTGGAAGATCCCTCGCCCCTGGACCTGTCTTCCGGTGAGTCCGTCAGACTTTCCATTTCTAACTCTGGCTCTTCGTCAAAATACAAAGTTGTTTTTTTCTGGGGAGGCTCAGCGGAATATTTCTCTGCTATTGTGCTGTTGAGTTCTATGGTTTTGAACCGACGGAGCCCACCTCCTCCGGTGACCACAAGTTCTTCACTCTCCTGACTTTTAGTCTCTCGGAATTTAAGCTCAGGACTCTCGTCGAATGTTTCATCGTCTTCATCATGCCACGAATGCCGTCTCCCTGCCTCATCGTCAAAGCTTGCACTGCTTTTCCGAGTTATCCTTCTGTGTTTGCCTGCTACTATCTTCCCTTTGCCTTTCATCTCTTCCTTCTTCTGGCTCTCAGTACTGCTGATCTCTTTGAGCTGGTTCCTGATAAACTCATCATCTTCAGACCCGGAGGCGTCTTCGTCAGCACTCATCTCTATGATTTGCTTCCGAATGAAGTCCTCCTCCTCCCCAGATCCTTGGCTGTCCTCTTGTTTATAGTCATCGCTGCTTGAGGAACCGACGCTCGTTCTCCGTTTTCTTTGCGGCACAGGCGAGTTTTCACTCTCACTACTGTCTTCCACGGAATCATAAAGCTGTCTTCTGGTAGTTGTGTCCTCAACAAACTCAAACTTTGCTTTGTAGTCCTTACTGGCAGGAATGCCTTGCTGGGCATCTTGTTTAAAAGTGTCTTTCTTTTCTTCCTGACTCTCCTTGAGCTCCTCCCCTGAAATCGCAATTTCCAGGGTTTCGGGGCCAGTATGAATTTTTGGCTGGTCTGTAAGCTGCTCAGGTGAAATCTCATGGGGTTGTGATTTCTTTTCTGACTTCCCAGCAACAAATGTACTTGTCTGCGCTTCCAAAATGGAAAGGACTGTGCTTTCTAACTTAGCCAGATCTGAGGGGCTGGTAGGGCTGCTTTCTTGTGAGAAAGAGTCCTTTTTCAGTCCCCTGAGCAAGTCCTTTTCATCACTTGGAATAAGGCTTGGAATTTCACCAAGTGAACTCGATATCCCATCAGAAGAATAGCCTGTGTCGCTTAGACCTTGTGGGCTTTTAGGTTGCTGAAGACTTGAGATGTCTGATTTGTCATCTTCCTTTTCCTAGCAGGGAGGAAAAGATACAGGAAAACTTAAAATGGTTAAACTAAAAACATGGCCTCTTCATTACTCTCAAATCACTATTAAGAACTGGAGGATGACCGGTCCTGTGGCACAGTGAGTTAAAGCACCAGCCTGCAGCACCTGCATCCCACATGGGCACTGGTCCTTGCTGATCCACTTCCCATGCAGCTCCCTGCTATGTGACTGGGAAAGCAACGGAGGATGGTCCTAGTCCTTGGGCCCCTACACCCATGTGGGCGACCCAGAAGAAGCTCCTGGCTCCTGGCTTTGGATCTGCTCAGCTCCAACTATTACGTACAGCCATTTGGGGAGTGAACCAGTGGATGGAAGATCTCTCTCTCTCTCTCTCTCTCTTCTCTCACCCTGTCTACCTCTCTCCTGTAACTCGTTCAATTAAATAAGTCCTTTTTAAAAAAAGAATTGAGGAATAATTATGGAGGGCTTTTCAACTATACCCCAGTATTAAGGGAAATAATGAAAACAAAAGTGAAAATAATTTATGTAGAGAATTATGAATAAAATTTTACATATACATATAATTTTATATACAAAAATAATCAAAGATTGTTTTCATTTAATCTGTTTAATTTAAATGTCATTTCACAATGAAATTTGATTTCTGTTCATTAATGCTCTATCCTTTTGTACTTCCATGCCATTTTCCTTCAAATATATGATTACCTTTTTTAGAACATTCAATTGGGAATAAAGTTAGCATTGTAAAAAAAATCTAAGGCTGATTTATTCATTTACATAATTCATATTTTGGGTATGCAGGGGGTGGGGTGGGGAAAGAACAAAGACAAAAATCAGAGGACAAGCTTTGTGCCTGGCTACAGATCATATGATGTTGGAAAATTTGCCTAACAGAAATATGCTAACACATGCTATAATGATGCACGTGCAACCTACCACAAGGGATTTGGTTGATGTGAGATTCAAAGAAGGTACTGCCTTTAAAGACATGTTAAACACTATAAAACTCATATGTACTTGGTGTCATTGAGAATATTATTACTCTTATATCACTTGGGATGAATGTTTAGAAATTGTAAACTTCAACAAATTTATGCAATAATTGGTTTGACTCATTAGTTTAGCTAGGGAGAAATATCTGGTTTTTATATTTGTAGGGTTGCTATCATATTTACCTTCAGCATTCCACTTAAAGGTGTTTCCAAATACTGCTTAGAAATGTCTTCTGACTTTGGAACTACTTGACGTTTAAGCAGCAAAGGCAGCATCCTTTCCAGAGCAATAACTATCTTTTATGAATGGAAGCACAGGCCTTTTAGGTGGCTCGAGCCCTCACTAGGCACATCACAGCCTTGACCTTTCTGCTTTCCCTGTGCAAGGATGAAGCCGCCCAAGCCATTTCAGTGCAACAATCAAAGAGGCCATAAAAGAAAATGCTAAACATAGTGACTTTTTGCTAATTGAAATGATCTATGAGCAAAAGGAAATCAATTCACCTACTGAGATGAATTCAAGGGCAGTGTCAGAATAGCCCCACAGCCCTAAGCAAAGAGAGGGTTAGGGAAAGAGTGGTCCTAAAGCATCTCCTGAGAGCAGCTGCATCTCCTCCTGGCTATAAGGTCCCTTGGTCCCATCAAGTCTGTATCATGAATTAAACATCTTGATATTTTTGGTGAGTGTGTGGGCTTAGGGTTCTTCTTACCTACACATAGTCCAAAGGAACAGATGTTAAGTTTTTACAACAAGCATGCAGCTAACAGTCCCCTCTTCCTTCCCTCTGTCCCTCATTTCTCTTTTCCTTCTATTTCTACCTCTTCTAAGTACACAGTTCTCAAATATAAAAGTTATTGACTTTGTACTTGCTTTAATATTTTATAGCTCAATCTTTATTATATATGGTTGAAGATACATCCTGAGCACATTATAGGGTAAAATGGTTTTGCTGAATTTACAAAATTATTTCATTGAAAAAGACAGTCTGACATATTTTAGTGCAAAAAGAAATGCCTACTCTTTGATTTGCCAAGGATTAACAGTTCTGGACCATTTCAGATGTTTTGTACTACTTATTTGCAGTCATGAGACTACAGTAGCAGGACTCAGCTCTTGAGAACCCAACTCACTTGGATTCTTTTCTCCTAAGAGTTACACAAGAGTCAAGCAAAGACAAGTATCTTTCTATTGAAAGCCTTCAGGACCTTTGCATCTCACTGCACCCCCAGACAATGCTAGAGCACTCCATATCTCGCCTTTTTTTTTGGGGGGGGGGTCTAATAAGCTTTCTATGCTCTTCCTTTACCAAGCCCCATCCACCCTTCAATGAAGTGCAGAAGTGCTCATGATGGGGGTCAAGAACCCAAGCACCTTGTAAAAAGAAGATTTAGATAATAATCATTCAACATTCTGGTAGTGTCATTACACATTTGAGAAGCAAGTCAGTGGACAGGGTATATCTGTCAGTCTGTATGTTTCATGCTTTCTCTGTTGCTCTTTCAAATAAATAAAATTTTCTAAACAGATAAAATTCATAAGAAGTTTAATTTCTATCAGGAGGACTGAATTGTTTCAGTGTAATATATAAAGTGATGCTTAAATGGTATTCTGCTTATGTACCTAGGCAAAAACAGAATTCTGTAGCAACATTACTAATGTGATTTATATAACAACTGCATATATTCGTGGGGTATAATATGATGTTGCTTCAATTGTGTAATGATTGATCACAGTAATGAGCATATCCATTACTATAAACTATTATCATTTCTTTATGTTGAGTGCATTCAAAATTCTCTCTCAGAGCTATTTTGAACTATTGTTGTTAATAAGTTCACCCTACTGTGCAAAAATTTTGAAAATGAAGACAAACTTTTCAAAGTATGTATCAGGAATAATTTTAATTCAATTAAAAACACTTTGAAAAATAGGAATGAAGAGGAAAAAAAAAGATATGGAGGAGCTGTCACTGTGGCGCAGTGGGTAAAGCAGCCGCCTACAGTTTCGGCATCCAATATAGGTGCCAGTTCAAGTCCCGGCTGCTCCACTTCCAATCCAGCTCTCTGCTATGGCCTGGGAAAGCAGTAGAGGATGGCCCAAGTCCTTGGGCCCCTGCCCCCTCATGGGAGACCTGGAAGAAGCTTCTGGCTCCTGGCTTTGGATCAGTGCAGCTCCAGCAGTTGACGTCAACGTTGAGTGAACCAGCAGATGGAAGACCTCCCTCCTCCCTCTCTCTCTCTCTCTCTCTCTCTCTTTCTCAATGCCTCTCCTTCTCTCTGTGTAACACTGACTTTCAAATAAATGAATAAATCTTTAAAAAAAAAAAAGACATGGCAATAAAGATATGAAGACATCATACTGTAACAACATGCATGACACAACTAACCAATAAATGGATAAAATAATATACTAATATTTAAAAAGTGAAAAATTACACAAAATGTTTGGGATTGCAGTAAGAGTTGCTAAGAAAGGTGGATAATTAGTATAATGAAAAGTTAGTTTACTAGAAGTGTCATAGTACAACAGCATTCTATGCAACAGTTATACACAGAGTCTTTATAGTCAGAACTGGATTCCAGTTCTGAAAAGCCAAGCTAACTCATTCAGATGAAAATATCTACTATGAGGTACATATACTCTGCAGGTTATGCAAAATGGACCAAACGGAGGGTAAGTGATTCACCTGTTGTTTGAAGAAGTGGCTTGGGATACTCACATCTCATTTCAGAGTGTCTGGCCCTATTCCCCGTTCTAACTTCCTGCTGTTGTGTACTCTGGGAGTCAACAGCTCAAGTACTTGGGTACCTGTCACCCATGTGGGAGATACAGACTGAGTTCTTGGCTCCTGGTTCAGCCTGAGCTGGCCCCACTGTTATGGGTATTTGGGGGGAGTGAACCAGTAGATGGAAAATCTGTCTCTGTCTCTGCCCTTCGAATAAAATAAAGTGAATAGAGCATTTTTTTAAAATGACCTGATGGACTACAAGGAAAAAAAAAAACTTAGGAGTTTTATTAATTTTTAAAATTGAAAGTAGAAAATACATTAAAATTTACTAACATTTAATAAATAGATTGGTATCAATATTATCTTACTTCTGGTCAGCGGATCACATCATCTGTGAGGAATCCCAGGAGAACCCTGGGATTGGACTCTAAGGAAGGAAAGTGAGGGAACTGCTTCACTCACTCACCTCTACATTGAAGTTTACTGTTCAGTTAGGCAGACTTATAGCTTACATTATCTAATGTCAACCAAGTAAACTTTCCTATAATAGTTAAGGGAAAGACAAAAGATTACTGCACAGAATTAATATGTTGACAAAATAATGTAGGAAATGCAATAATAGGAGAGCTGGTATTTTTCATAGTTCTACAAGTATTTTATCAGCAACATAACAGTAAAAACAACTGATCATCAGAGTAAATCAGATGTAACATGGAGACAGTGAAAAATGTTTAACATCAAAAAAGCTGTTTGAAATCTTCATCTACATCTAGTATTGCTAATACCAAATCTCACCCTAAACATACAAGGTACTTTAGAGTTATAGTCAATGATATTGGCATGATATTAAATGTCTATAATTTCCAGAATATGCAGGCATTTCAAAAAACTCACAGAGGTATGGGCATTTACCATAATGGTTGAGTTTCCACTATGGATGCCTCATTCCATATTGGAGTTCCTGGGTTTATGTTTTGTCTGTGTTTTCAATTCTAGCTTCCTTATAACACATATGCTGGAAAGAATCGGGTCATGGTCCAAGGACATGGGTCCTTAACACTCATGTAGGGGACCCAGACTGAGTTCCTTGTTCTAGTTTTGATTTGGCCTAGACCCAGCTGTTGTGGGCATCTGAGGAGTAAATTGGGGAGGTACACTGATCTCTCTTTTTCTTTCTGCCTGTCAGCCACCCAAATAAATAACTTTGAAAATTTATGGAAAAATGGAATGAAAAGGTAAGTTTATTTTGCTGTAAACATTTTTGAAATTCATGCAGCTTTTT